TTTTTTTTTTTTTTTTTAATGACCAATTATATGATATTGTATGAAGGTGCTCCATTATGTTGTGCTATTAAAATGCGTTTAATGTATGCTTGGCAAAGGGAACTTATGAATTTCATCATCTGAGCTCTTGTTAAGGACAGTTCACTGTCATAGCAGGGAAAATAGATTGAACAGTTTTTTCTTTTTTATATTTTTTAACTTCGAGTTTCAGAAGGACTTTCTCTTAATCCTCTTGTTGGAGGAATTTATTTTAGGTTCTTTTAATTGATATGGAAAATCTCTTATATTTACAGGGGTTTTTTAATCATTTTATTTTTTTTATGATTATGTATAATATGTGAGAATACGGTGTCATGTATCTACAGTGTTAAGTCATTATTTTGCAATAATATATTTTTGATTTGTGTTTGGGGTTTTGTAAAATACCTTCAGCAGCACTTAAAGGCAGTGACGTCATGTAGCGCTACAACCTTTTTCATAAGCTTTATTAAAAAATGTTTTTGAGTACATTCTTGCACGTAAGTCAGTGCTGTTAGCAGTCACGTTGCTTCACGATTTACTCAGCATGTCAAGTATCACATTTCTCAGTGACTCATATTTGAGACAAATATGAGATGAAAGGGAAAATGGAGAAATATACAAAAGTGAACTGTTGGTAGCCATAAGAGTTAATCAGCAGGCACCAAAACTGAATAAATAAACAAACCTGATACATAGCTATTATTTTTTGTTTTATTGTATTATTATTTTCTCTGTACATGACAGTATGTTGACCGTCATACTGATATGTGTTCTGTCCCTTGTGTGCTCTGGTTCAGAGAAGTCACCTGATACTGTACTGCATTGAATAAAGTGTAGCTTAGCCTCACTCCATCACACTGCTTCTTCTCTTTTTATTGCTGAATGTCTTTTTTCCCCCTTCACACCTTCACTCTCTCTAGATACAGTTGGGGGACAGCAGAGTCAAGTCAAGTCACCTTTATTTATATAGCGCTTTTAACGAT